GTCGTCGTGTTGAACATGATCATTGTCGTGTCCGACACGCTGGTCGTCGTGTCAAACACGATGGTCGTCGTGTTGAACACGATCGTTGTCGTGTCGAACACGACGGTCGTCCTGTAGAGAATGATCGTCGTCGTGTCCGACACGGTCATCGTCGTGTCGAACATGATGGTCGTCGTGTCAAACACGATCCTTGTCGTGTCGAACACGCTGGTTGTCGTGTCGAACACGATCGTCGTCGGGTCGAACACGATCATCATCGTGTCGAACACGGCCGTCGTCGTGTCACACACGACCGCCATCGTATCGAGCACTGTCGTCTTCTTGTCCGACACGCTCGTCGACGACGGGCGTCGTGTCCGGCACGATGGTCGTCGGGTCTGACACGGTGGCCGTCATGTCGAGCACGCTGGTCGTCGTGTCCGCCACGGTCAAACGCGGTCTTGGTCGTGTCGAACGCCATCACGGTCGTGTCGAACACCCTGCTCTTTTTCGCCTTGACCCCCACCTGTATTTCGACTTGCGCAGAGTTTAGTGCGAGTTGCGCCAGCAGAACACAATGCCCGGGTGACTGCCTTTTGTCTCTTGTAGCACTAACTGCATGTTGCGAGATTGCGCCATAACCCCCACCTTGTAATATACAATGGAGCTCCTGTCATGTTGGGCGCGACATTGGCGTCGCCGCAGTCGTTTGCCGTCTCAGCCTGGTGATCTCGAAACCCGTCATGCGCTGTAGAACGAACTCTGCGCGAATTTTGCTTCGAATCCTCGGAGTCTGGTACCCGGGAATTAAGACGGGGGACCCTTCCGTGTTGGGCGAGGCAGTCTCGTTGCGATGATGGTTTTCCTGCTCACTCGTGGCAGTTTTCCTGCCCGCTCTGCATGGGTGGTGAGTACCACGCGTGCCGGGAATCAAGACGGGGGACCCTTCCGTGTTGGGCGAAGCGGTCGCTTCGCTACGATGGTACGGTCGCGTTGCCACGATGGTATTCCTGCTCACTCGTGGCAGTTTTCCTGCCCGCTCTGCGTGGGTGGTGATTACCACGCTTACCACAGGTGTCCAGTCGTTGTAGTTACTGGAGTAATATAGAATCTTTCCTATCAATGCCCTCGTGCCAAGCTGTGTGCTACGTGCCAGAGTCTTCGCCGTTCCGCTGTTGGTGCCCGCTGGGTTTTGCACGCCGTGGTCTATGCCTTTCCGAAGCTGGTGCCCGACGTGACATGTGCTGCGTTTCCTGTTGCGCGTCAAGAACTCCGCCCTTTCAATGTTGTTGCACGCTGTGTTTCCGGTTGCTGGTGCCCCGACTCGACATGTGCTACGCTTCCCACTGTCGATCGATCTCCGACTTGGACGGACTCTTTCGCGTGTATTGCGCCTTTGGCACGGATTGGGCCTGATGACAGGATTGCTGCCCAGATTCCACGGTCGTGTGTTATCCTCTCTCGGATGTTTCCTGTTCCCCTCCGTCTAGTGTGGGGCTGTGTTTCTCAGGGTCATTTGTAGGGTTGTGTTTCTCGCTGTTGTGTAGGGATGGTTGTCTGCTCCATTTCATTGACCTCTTATTTTCGCCTTTTGACAGTGGTCCGCTGTTTTATTGTCGCAGACACGTCTCGTGCATGGCTTGTGGTGTGCATGCTATGCCACGGCAGGCTTGCAGCACAACCTTGGAAAGCATGGACTATGTGGCGTCTAATACAATGCTCAATGAGGATTTTTCTCCACCGCACCTGCCAATGTGTTCACAAGATGTTCGAAGTGGTCACGATCATGTCGATAATGCTCCGGAATCTCCTGCTCGTAAGAGGTCACGAAATATTGCATGTGCGGACACTACATGTGAAAGTGCGTATCCCATCCTTCGATGCCCGGTTCGAACCTGTGATGCAGAGAGTGCTCAAGGTCAGGAGGGTAAGACCTCCTCTACTGACAACGACGCATCCAATTTAGATCGTGTTGTATGGCTGCCGAGGAGTTCACTTCGAGATTTCGAGTACACAGGTCTTCTGTTTGGTGAGGGTGATGAAGGTGGTTCAGATTCAAGTGCTTCGGTATCGTCTAGTACTGATAGTTCTCCAGATAAAACCGATCTTCCGCAAACGTAGGCTGACCGGAACAGTGACCACTGTTGTCGAAATGACGATGAGAATTGTGACGTGATCTCTGATTTCGATGACATTTTTCCAAAACGTCTGTCCTCAGAGAAGCGTCCTTATACTTTTCGTCTCAGAATGCCCCGGTCAAAGAAGATTCTGCAATCAGTTCATAGAAAACTCACCAAAAAAAGCACTGGCGAGTGTGCGTGGGCAGGTTTGCTGTAAGCGAGAGTGTTGCGCTCAAATGACCCTGGACGACATCAAAGTTGTCCGGAGCGCATACTACTCTAAGAACCAGCAGAGCAGGGATGCRTGGTGGGTTGAAACGTTGAAGAGGTTCACCTTCATAGAAGATGAAAAGGAGATTGTTCAACCTATTGTGGGGAGACAAAAGGTGTGCATTATTGCTTGGTGTTTCACACTGGGTGTATGTGGGAATACATTTCTCAAAAAAAGGATGACTTTGTCAAAAGGCTACAATATGCCGGAGCATGGCAGTACAGGACTCAGACGCACATCAGCAACATATGCGACGATGTACGGGAAACTAAGCTCCTTCGTGCGAGACAACGGAGATTCCATGCCCAATGACATGAAGACCAAAGAGGGGGAATCAAAAGTGGTGTTGAGATTGCCTGCTTGCTATAACAAGGTTGATATTTATAAGTTGCTAAAGTCGTAATTGGACAACACGGGTGCTCCTTGTGTTTCTCTCTAAGTTTTTTACAACATGTGGAGAACACAGTTCTGGCATGTGAAATTCTATGACATTGATCAAAACTTTGCGAAATGCGAGAAATGTGTTGAATACAAAGAATCTATAAATTCGGCAAAGTTCGTGTGTGTGCGTGAGTACTTTGTTTCGTTACGCGAGAAACACTTGGACTTGCAGCTCCAACATCGTGTTGCATATGAGGTGTGGAAGGATGAGTCGAAGAGACCGGGTTCCAACAGTTTGTGCATCATCATTGACGGCATGGACCAAAGCAAGACCAGCATTCCACACTTTGGCGGAGAGAACAAATCGAAGGCATTCGCAAATATTCCGATGTTGAAAACGAATCTAACAGCTATTATTGCACACGGCCGTTTACCTTCTATGTATCCCCCGCGGTCATGACCGCGGGGTCAATCTCGGCCAGCGGTCGGGATCCCGACCGCTGAGGTCGGCCCCTGAGGTTGGTGCGGCCGAGAATTTCAAACATTTAAAAAAAA